TTGCCTGATGCACAGTTCATTCTGGTTATGTTGATTGTAACCAACAGTTAACTACCCGTGAGGTATCAAGTGACATGAAGAAATAGAAACGATAGTTGAGATGGCTTTCTTGACCTCACTTTGATCCTTTCACTGGATCCAGCTGGATAGTTGCTTCTGTAGTTCTCTTAATGAACTGCTTACAGATAGATGCATATGTGTGCTTTGGGTATAGAAAAGATACAGTATCTACTAAGACACAGATACTTTCATGCAGTTCCTGCCGAATGGATTTTGCAGAAATCACTGCAAAAATCCTAATGGATTTTGCAGAAATCACTTTGCTCTCACCCATCACAGAAGAGAGGCTTTTGGTTCTTCTACTTTTCTTTGGTAACGGGTATGAGGAAGTGAAAGTCTTAAATAAAGATGCTGTTTACAAGAAGCAGAAAAATTAATATACCTTTACTAACAGAAAGCCACCATGAAGCTTTGAGGTAGGACTGGGAAATGCTTTCTGTGGTGGTGGGAATTCCCTTGATTATCCCCCTTCCTTACAGAAAGACTTTTGTCTGCCATTACACTGAAAGGTGCACAGGTATAGAATGGAGAATCAAAAAGCCTCCTCATTCACTTCTCCTATCAACTCCTTCCTAGGTCACTACTGAATGCAAAGTTTTGCAATTTAGTGTAAGACTGAGTGAGAGCCAAATTGATGCCCTTGGAAATGTATCTGTTAGGAGTGAGAGGTAAAGAGCATAAGAGAGTATCTCTTTACTACTTTTTTTCATGCCGTGCTTCCAAGGGGAAGGCTGCAGGGAGGATAAAGGTGCTGTGCTGCAGTTGGTATGTTGGCTGGAGCTCCCTGAAACCCAATGCGAGGTTTCAACAGAGGAGTCACAACTGTTGGCAGGTTCTGGTGACCGTGGCAGACCTCAGCGGGAGTTATTCTAAGAACACAACATATGATCAGATTACTGAGGGGCACTTTACATGGCTCTAAAAAATGAACCATCTGACGGTTTATGACAGCTCTGCCTGTTCCAGCCAAGTGAGGAGTGTGAGTCGTTGCTGACCCTGCAGCCAGGGTTGAGAAACAAAGAAAGTGCTTTCCAGAGGCTGTGAGCCTACAGACTTCCAGCCACATAAAACCTGCTTGCATCTGACTTCTGATAAGAGAAACAAAAGACATTTAAGATTTGCTTCTCTTGCAGTTTTGATTCATGGTAATTTAATGCGTTCTTGCTGCATTTCATTGGGCTTGGCAATTTGCATAGTTCTATATTTAGTAATCCCTGTGATGAATGTCTTTGTAGAGTGATCTGTTTGTTTATTGGTTTGGGGGGGTAGGGGAGGGTTTGTGTGTGCTACCAGTACCTTTATTAGCTTAATATAACCTGCCACTTTTCTGTGTTTCTCTGACTGAGGACACACTTGTAGAAGAGGAAGACTGAATGAGAATTGGTAGCAAGTGGGAAGTGAATTCTAAAACTGGAAAATTTCAGGATCTACAATTAAATGCTCTTTGTGGAGAGTTTCTTTCTAGAGAATTTCCATTCTGGCATCTCATATCAGCAATTTGTACAACAGTTTCCCCTCCTACTAGTCTTTTCCATTGAAGTACATGGCCTGAGAGAACTTTGCAATTTTTGCTGATGTTGTCAAAGACAAACATTTAAATGCACACTTACGGAAACACCTCCCACTTTTCCCAGGCTTGAATACAGTTTATTGTTCCTCCTCGCTGCTTCCTACCCAATTTCCCTTGTTTTGTCCTCTCTACTGCTTAGTCCCTCTTTGATTCTTTGAGGTGCTGGGTGACGCAGAAGGTTGGCATCACTGTGTAAAGGTCTCTTTCTGCTAGTTCCTGCTTTTTTGTTTTGTTTTATTTTGTTTAGTTCTTTTTCCCTTTTGGTGCTCCTTATTTCTTGCTTCTCCTCTTCTCTGCACAGGTTTTCAATGGGCTGCAGTCCTTTCAGAGTTGTCTCTGCTCTGGCATGGTGCTGCAGTTGCCTGTACTTCTGTCATGGAGCACCTCTTTCCAAGAGTATTTTTCCAGCCACATCCCCAGCAATGTCCCCTATCGTGTTTCCTTTTCTCCAAATTTGTCTTTTTACATATCTTTTATTTTTCCTTCTGTGCATCCTCATGTCTGCTTTTGTGGTTCCTTTTGTGTCTCCTCATGTGTCTCGTGTCCCTACTGGCTCTTGCCCTTTCCAAAATATATTTGAGCAAAGGTAGTTTGTGCTTCTCTGACTGGTTGAGGTTCTAATGGATTGATTGTCATTTTCATCCAGTCTGGGGATGGCTGGAATTGACTGTGATTGGCACAGAGCTGTTGATGTCATCCTCTCACACAGATTACTCCTTCTGCCCTCTGTTGCTGAAGCAGAATAGTTCTCTGTCAGACTGCTCAGTCTGTATGATTTTTTTACTTTCATGGAAACACAACAAAACTAAATTTACTCCTTAATGCTTATTATATCTCACTGAGAATCCATTGAAATTAGTTTTTCAAGGCTGACCCATAACTGAGCCAATGTCTGGAGAGTTCCATATATTCAAATTTTCAACGTAGCCCGATATGCACCCTTTAAAAGTTTGCCTGCAGTCCTCCAATATCCACTTCTTCTCAAGGCTAGTTTTTCATCTCTCTCACACTAACTCATTCCCCTTGCCCCTCAAAGTGTCCTCTTGGTGTGCAAAAATTCTCATTCTCATTTCTTAGTAGGTAATAGGGTTTGAACACCTTGTTTTGTTCTGCCCATTTCCCACTTCCGATGTGTGTCAAACCGTCCTTCTGAAATTTCATGTATGTCGGCATCTGCGTGAGAAGAATCACTTCAGTTGTTTCATACCTTTCAACTTGGATCCATGTCTAACAGATGGAGGCTTTGAAAAGCCATAAATATTATTGTTGGCACTAGAGTAAGGTGGTGTGGGTATGTGTTGCTAGTAATTGGTCTCGGCTTTGTAAAAATGGTTCCATGGGTTGGAAGAGCAGCCAGGTGGAAGGTAGCATAATAACATCTGCTCCCATCAAACTCTCCTGGGCATGTCACCATGCTAATGCTGAAACTGTGGGAACTGAAGAGGTCAGTGGTTACATGCTGGGCATTGTGTTTTTGGCACAGAAACAGTTCCTAATTTGTGTATATAGGAGCTGGAACTGAGTTCTCCACTACAGACCTGTTTCTTCTCCCACGGGAATAAGGAGAGCTGCTGTAATGACACCATTAGGAAAACATTAGGGTCTGTAAATGTAAAGTGCTTTCCCGTCCCTGTGTGTGCTTTGGTTATGTTTCATGAACATGGCTTAAGTGCAGTCATGGACATTTGCATTCTTCTGTTTCAGAAACAGATGGAATTAGGAGCTTTGCCAACCCTTCCCCAAAAGGTTGAGTGGTCAATTTTGGCATAGAGTCTTTCCTTGCATAACTTTTTTCAGGTTTGAGCGAAATAAGAGTTTAAAATAAAAACAAGAGACAATTTTTCCATGGAATATTAAACCACTGGAATAAATATTGTGTTTGATTTCACTGCTTGCTTTTTGATGTCTCTCATGTCCTAATGTATAAGTTCTCCATTCAACCCATAAACTTTCCATAGACAACACTGGAGTTTTATAATTTTGTTATAAACCTCACAATAGATGTGGCTTTGCTTCCCAGTTCATTCCCGCTTCATTCTGCAAACACTTGCAGCCATATAAAAATGTCTCACAGCCTTGCAGTTCCCACTCCCAACTTTTTATTGAGGTACTGTATTGCTACTAGTGTGGTCACTGCAAATGTATTATTTTGCAGAGCCTGTTCTTCCTGTCATGTTTTCTGCCTTGAAGCAGCCTAGAGTTCAGATGTGTAGCTGCTGCCTTTATGTTTCCGCTCTTTATTCCTCCATCTCCAGGAAGAGAATAAAATGTGTGACTGCTTAGATTTGATACATGGAAGCCAGTGTATGGAACCTGGATAGTCTGCCTGCAAGAGCCGGAAAGCATTTGTAGTTCACTGTATCACGTCACACTGATAAACTCTGTGTAACTGTTTCCATGTACTCCCCCCATTGCTGTTTATTTTTGTGTACTTAGCTTCACAAAATGACAGACTCATCTTGGTTGGAAGGGATCTCTTCAGGTGGCCTAGTCTGGCCCTGCTGCTCAAGCAGTGATAGATACAGCTGGCTGGCCACGATTCTGTCCACTAGGCTGTGACCATCCTTCTAGGATGGAGGCTGCAACCTCTTTGGGCAGCCTGTGCCAGTGTTTCACCACCACTATGGTAAAAAAGATTGGGCTTTTCCTTTTTTTTTTTCCCCTTTCTTGTTTTTAGACAGAATTGCATGTGTTTTAGTTTGTGCCATTTGTTTCTTGTCCTATCACTGAGCACTACTGAGAGGAGGGTAGTTCCCTTTTTCTTTTATTCCCTCCCATCCCAGGTACTTGCATGCATTGATTAAAAGCTCCCCCTCAGTCTTCTCCAGGCTGAACAGACCCAGTTCTCTCAGCCTCTCCTTATATGAAAGATACTCCAGTTTCTTTAAATTTTTTCCTGGACTCACTCCAGTATGCCCACATCTTTTTCATGCTGAGGAGACCAGAACTGACACGGTATTCTAGATGTTGCCTCAACAGTGCTGAGTAGAGGTGAAGAATCAAATCCCTTGACCCGTTGGTTACAATCTTCCTATGAAAACTGGGATTTGCCATAAGAGTGCATTGCTGGCTCATTGTCAGCTCGTTGTCAGCCAGGACCCCATCTGTTCAGCCAATTGTCATTCCACCTCCTTGTCCAATTATCTAGCCCATACTTTGTCAGTTTGCCTATAAGGATGTTCTAGGAGACTGCTCATAAAACTCAAAACTTCTACCATGTGAACTAATAAGTTCCTTTCTAAGAAAGAAAACAGTGTGACAGGGAATCATCCCACTGCTGATCTCTATAGATACAAAATTGAATTATCTATCTTCTTCACTGAGGTCATAGCTTTCTAAACTTGTATTTGCATTTTTTTCTCTGTTTCAGGCCGAAATGAGTTGATTGCCCGCTATATTAAGCTGAGAACAGGGAAAACACGCACAAGGAAACAGGTAAGTGCACAGTTTTCCATGTAAGCATTAGCTTCTCTGGACCATTAGAGATTATGAGGGCTAATGAGAGCAAACCCCTTAGTGTTCACTTGCTACTAGTTTCTGGCTTTGCTGGAAAGAGGTTTTTGTCCTGAACTGGTTAATAAGAGTGATGGGAAGAGTCAGCTCAGGCATTTTACAATTGGATTATAATGCTCATGCCTCCCAACCACATAGTGATCCACAATTCTTTTTTCTACTGGTAAACAGTGTGTAATTTTATTTCCTTGGTCTAGTAGTGAATGTTTCAGTGAACATGAGTGATTATCTACATGAAGACTCTTTGTTCAGCCCAGGCAGACCCTCAGCAATGCTGATTTTGAAAATACCTGTTGCACAAGATGAAAAAGAGGAATCTTTGTGATTTGGGAATGACAGTCCAGGCTATGCTGGACAAAGCACTGAGCAACACAGACCTGCTTTGAGTAGGGAGCTGGTTGCTGACATTCAGGAGTTCCTTTCAACCTAAATTATTCTGTGATATGTTTCAGCCCGTATTAGATATGGGAAAAGTTATGATATAGCAGCAGAGGTTTCTCTTCTCCCAGGAGGAGGCCAAGATGGGGAAACAAAGAGATCAGAACTCCCAGTCCCTGGTTTCAAGGATGGGTTCTTTTCTTTTCTAGAGGAGGTCTCTGGCTTGATAAAGCCATTTGGACTGAAAAAGGCCTTAAATGGCCCATCTTTACTGTCCCTCCACCCCATTTCATGGCACTTCTGAACATAACTTCAGTTACGTTCAGAAAAGCAGTTCATTGCTACCCTCAAACACCTCTCCTTCCAACCCTAAATAACTCCCATTGCACAAGGTGCCTTAAGTATATTCACTTCTACAAGAAGCTACTGAGTATTCCTCTGGAATGAAAATGGGCTTTGTCTTTCTATGCAGGTATCTAGTCACATCCAGGTCCTGGCAAGGCGGAAAGCTAGAGAGATCCAAGCCAAGCTCAAGGTAAGATGGGTATCCTTTAACATATCACACAAGCCCCCCCCCAAGTCAGCCATTCCCTTAAAAATGCATGAGATTAGTCAATGAACTGTAGTAAGCTGGAGAGGAAAAGGTACTTCCCAGGAAGCTTTATGCAAACATTCATTATTGTTGAAGCTCTGTGACGTCTGGAGCAATTCTATTTAAAGAATAAAGAAACAATAACTTTTTAAATTTCATGTGTCTTGTTTCTACCTCCAGTTTATGCTGTTGTCATCCAAGTCTGGAAGACCCTTAGACTTAAGTGTATGCAAAGAGTCCTTAACTGAGAAGAAGGGGTTTATGGTTACAAATGCTGACCAGTAACCAGTCCTTGGTGTTGTGGTGGCCTTAGGAAAAGGTAGCCTTATAGTTCCTACAGCATCAGTTCTGACTCTAGTTGAGGTAGTGGTGTGGAGCTGTCCATTGAGAGGAAGCAATAAGCCAGCTGGCATCTTCTCAGGTAAAGTGATGCCAGCTTTACCCCTTGATTAATTCAGAGCTGATTTGAAGAGGCCTGGGCTAATGAGAAAGAAAATGGTTGACTACTTGCTCCAGAAAATCTGTGTTTTCATTTCTATAGGAACAGCTCTGAGATCACACTAATGAACTGATACCTCTTGACATTTATTTCCACTCACATTTGATGCAGGGAGATGGTTTATGTGCTGTGACTGAATTGCCAGAAATATTGAGAAGGTCAAGTGTGTGTGTGACAATTGCATAAGAGGGCGTCCCCTGTTAGAGTGTGAGCTGTCCAGAAAGGTCTTGCTGAGCAGGATGTGATGTCTGGGCCTTGTTAGGTTTCACTAAGACAGCCTGAGAAGGAAGGTGAATGCTGACCTTTCTGTTTGGTATGGCAGTTAGTAAAGCAGTTAGCAGTTGGAAGGGTGTTGCCTTCCCTGATTTTCAATGCTTCAGGTGGCAATGATCTTGACAGCCCATTCCAACCCTGACTGTTGAGTAGATGGCTGTTAGTATGTGCTTCCTCTTGGCTGTCTGGGCAATTCCTCGCTGGGCACCAGCGGAAACAGACTGTCCTGTGAGGGAACTGTTGGCACTCAGTCTTGACTGATGCTGAAGTGCATGCAACTCTTGCAAGAAGTGATTACCTCTTAGCCATGACTGCACCCCCCCATCCCATCCACAGCCACATTTTAGAAAACTGTGCTATGTCTGTTATTAACCTGCTGTGTTTCCAGCTGGTCTGATAAAGAGAAAGAGCCACAAATTACAACTATCTAATTCAGTGCACCTAGGTAGGGCTGCCTAAGCTTGAGACCTGTGGTGCTGTTAAGTGGTCAATTCAGGTGGAGGCCTGCTTGAGAGGCAAGTTAGAGCTAGTAGGAAACAACAACTGCCCAGGGTGTTAAAAGCTTTACTGCTGCTTATATCTGTAACCTTGTTTCTGTTCCTTGCGTGTCACAGCTCTGGGATTTGGCATGATTGAAAAGCCAGTCAGCCGAGCCTGTTTCCACTTAGCACACAGGAGCTGGCTGGTTTTGTTCTCGGGGAGCGAAGGTGTCTCAGGGAGCTCCATGGAGCCATTGGCTGTTGTCCTTTTACACCACCCAGGCCATGCTGTGAGCTCTGCCCAGCTGCCCGCAGTGAACCCTTCCCCAGTACCAGCCTGTTCCTTTCCGCCTGCAGGAGGCCAAGTCGGTAGCACCGATTTGACTCATTTACTTCTTTGCTTTTGCTGGTCATTTCCATAGAGCAAGGAAATGAAATCATGAAAGATGCTGCCCTTCTTCCAGGTTCCTGCTGATAGCTGTGTGTTCTTCTATCACTGTTCACTTTCCATAAAAGTATAAGTTTTCATATTTGTATCCTAGAGATCAGAGCCGCTATGTGATGATTTTTCAGAGTGATTTCTATAATACTTCCGTCTCCACACGAACTGGGGTGTCTTTTTAAAATGTGCACTGTCTGTAACAGATAGAGATTGGAAATACGGTAAAGCTTGATGAAAAATCTGTTCTCTGAAGTCAGTAGTTTTTCCATGCCCTGGGTGGCTAACACATATTACCTGTACTAAGGAAAAAGTGGGAAATTGTGGTGGTATGGTGATATTATTATTATTATCATCATTAAGAAGAAAACACAAACATTGCAAATGTTTGGTAAAACTTTTTCTTGATTTGTTTGGGTTTTTGTTTGGTTTTGTTGTTTGTTTTTTTTCCTGGAAACATGAAATGAATACAGAACTGTTAGCTGAAACAGAAACATGCTCTTTCCAGCAGTTTGTCAGGCATTTAAACAACACAGAAAAACATGACAGGGATTAATAGGTAAAATATGTTCCCTACTTAGTTTTTTTTTCCCTTTGAACTTTTAATATCTCCACAAGTAAATGCATCTTCCCCATAAACTCATGTATAAACTCAGGTAGATACTTTTTCCGGTGAGCAAGTAAGGGAAGGAAAAAAATGGCAACTGGAACATGGTCCTGATGTATGTTTTGAAAAAAAAACCCAGAGAACAATTTCTCTTAACAAAATGTAAGTAATCCTTGAATTATTTCCTAAAGCATCGTTTAAACTGGATTCTGAAACCTTCCTATGGCTTTGGATAACGTTAGGAACTTAGCAATTAAAATGTTTCCCTTTCATTCACGTGAATAGTACTAGCAGGAGTAACAGATGCTGTAAAAAAAGAAGATGCATGTTTTGCTCTTCCTCCTGATCATTCCACTTGAACATTAGCATTTATTCTTGAGGGGTTTTTATGCCTCCTCCACATGATTTTTTTGTATTTGATGCATTAGAATCCCTGGACTTTAAACTTCAAAAAAAATTTAGATAGATTGGAGGAGTTAGAGAGAATGGAGATCCAAGGGTGAGAACTTACTGCAGTTCAATGAATGCAAGTGGGAAGTGAGAATTCCTGGAAAAGACAGCAAGAGTGTACCTCTTTCAGCAGTTTCTACAAGCTATGAATTCTTCTGTGCCATTGTAATTACAATATCACAGATAAATGTGTAGTGTTTGAAGGATGAAGATTAACTGTAGGGGATGTAGAAGGAAAAGTAGAATTTGGGGATGTGCTTCTGCTTGTCTATTTATTCCTTGGAAGAAGAAATGCAGAATGCCATTTGTTTTATAAATACATCACTCACTTCACTCACTAGTGGTTGCACTGTCATTGCATATAAAAACGTGTGTAAATTCACAGTCTTGTTAAAATAAAAAAGGAATGTCCTTGCCTTGCATATGTGCTCTGGAGATTATTAAAGTTTCAAGTTTCTCTGGAGATGGGAATAAAATTATCAACTCTACCTGATACTAATGCAGTCACACATTAAGGTAGTCTTTTTTGCAGTGTTAATGACAATCTCTTTTTGTGAGCTTGTTTTTAGAGGGATTTTTTTCTTTAATTGATAATAAAAAGTCTTTACCATTGAATATTTTGACCAATTATTAAAACACAAAAGTCAACTAGGGTTGTACTTTCCACAACAAAACTTTTCAGCTATGTGGCTGAAAGCTACAGAGTGGATAAATGCTCAGCAGACTTTAAACCAGCATTTCAGAAAGGATGATAATTCACATATGAAGCTATAGTAATGAATTAAAGACTTACATGGTTTGAAATGTTCTTAGGACAGTTATTGGGGAATTTGCTGGCCAGGTTTTCAGAGATGCTTGTTTCCTACAAAGAAGCTGATGAGAATCCTGGTTATACAGCGTTAGAGCAGGCAGCTTGTTAATCATTATAATAACTGTTTTTTTGGTTTCTCCTCTTGCCCATAGGATCAGGCAGCTAAAGATAAAGCCATGCAGAGTATGGCTACAATGTCATCTGCCCAGATTATCTCTGCAACTGCCTTCCATAGTAAAATGGCCTTGCCTGGTCTTCCACGACCAGCCTACCCTGCTGTTTCTGGGGTGAGTGAATCAATGTCTTGGTGGAGTTTGGCTGAAGACATTTGAATATTTGAAAGGGTGGTGGGACCTGCTCAGGAAAATTCTGAGAACATCAGACAGAATGGGCCAAAAGGCATTGTCTATGTAAAATAAATCTGTTATATGGCTTCAACAGTTTGAGTCTGATTCTTTGCTCACACTGATGTAAAACAATAAGGTTTCACTATATGGTTTTTAATGATACAAGTGAAAGAACAATTAGTTCCTTTGGATTTTCATCTGCCTGAAATATTTTTAGGTGTCTGTATCACTTTTCTTAGTACAGAATCTTGTTGAATTAAAACAGTTTAGGCTATCCTGACCCTTTCTCAAGATAATCATTTGCAAACTCATCCTGACTGCTTAGATCACAAACAGATGGCCATTACATAAAAACCTTAATGGAGAAGGCCTGTCAATGTCCCCTAAACTATAAGTAGGGCCTAGTGTGCTTTTGCTGAGCATTGATTTCTTCTGAAATACCTTCTAGCTCTCCTGGGGAAAACGGTCCTTTCAAGAGAGTGTGTATCATTTAAGCTTTAGAGATGGAGGCACAAGGCCCATATATAGGATTTAACATTGAAGCCCACTATCAGTTTCATGCATGTCAGCCGTAGCAGCGTGCAGAAAGAAAACAAAAGTGAGTTAGTACCTCCATAAGAATGAAACCAGGACTGTAGAAAGAAGAGATGTAGCTCAGTCACATATTTTAAAGGCTGGGAGCTTGCAGTTTATTTCCTCTGAAAGAAGCAAGCCTTGCTTTTCATGACTTTCCTACAGTGGTGACTTTTGTCTATATGTTGTTCTCTTGCAGTTCTGGCAAGGAGCGTTGACAGGCCAAGCTGGATCTTCCCAAGAGTAAGTATTCCTTCATGTCAGCATCCAAAGCAAATGCTTCTGCTGCTTTCTCTGCTGCCTGAGGAACAACCATTAGCTATTACAAGATCTATAAACCACTGAGATAATGTAGTAAGGCAGATGCAATGACTGTGAATCTGAGACTTAAGGCTCAGGGTTGAAGACAAACTGAGAGTCATGAGAAAATCTTAAATAGATAAAACCCTATGTCTTCATATCATACCTTCAACGTGAATTACACGCCTTAATATGCCCCATGACTCAGGCAGCCTAAAATGGATTATTTTAAAGAGCTGTGGAATAGAGGAGCCTGCTAGAGGTGAGGGTGTTGCAGCTCCATGCTCCCAAATTGAACCAGTAGCAATGCTGAATGTATTCCCTGTGGTGTGTGTACACAAACAACTGTGCACACACACCCCCTATACACACATCTGGCTGCACAGAACAGCACAGACAACACTCAGCACTCACATAGATACAAACAGCACCTACAGTCTTATCCTGTACCCTCTGGCTGATGAGAATGAAGGTGTGTTACTTGAAAATAAATGTGTACTGTGGACCCAAGCAATAGCTGCCCCGGGTTCCCTTGTCTCCCTGCGTGCTGGCACCCAGGCAGGTGAGCCCCTGAGGCCACAGCCCCGCTCCAGTTGCTGGTGCAGGCTTCTCACTCACATACACAAACAAATGTGCATAAACACACACAAACACACACTGTGAATCTCTCCAGCAACTGAACTTAGATATACAGTCCACCTATTTGCTGGATCTTCACTTTCCCCAGTTTGCCTCCTGCAAACGTGCATACATAGACTCCTCTTTCAGCTGATCTCCAGACTCCACATTGTCATTTGGCCTGAACCTCCTGGTGCCTCTGAAAGCATTCTTACCTCTGGAGACACATGGAGCTGACTCCCAAACCATCTCCTTGCTGTCTAATCTGGCTTCATAACTGCTAGTGATCACGCCTTCACTTGCTGCTGCCATTCCAGAAACAGCACAACATAACTGAAAGCTCCTCATGAAGAAAAACAGTTAGGAATAGACTTGAGTGACACTATAGGAAAGACTGCACTGACAACGTGTGGGGCATTCACAGACAACTCGCACCTTTTATTGGCATATTCTCCCTAAACATCCTGATAACAAATTTTGTGCAATCCCAAAATGCTTTTCCTTTGCATTTCTAATGTGTCCCATACTATCTAGGCAGTAACCACACTCAGTTTATAAAGTGACTGGTCTGTGAGACTCCCTAGCTGTCTCACTGGGTGGGTTTCACAGCTGGAGATGAGCCTCGGATGGGCTGATGATTCACTAATAATGACCCTGAGTGTAGTGGTGTCAGTGTTACTCAGGTTACTCCACCTGCCTGTTGTTTCCCTGTGATAAAGGCACACCTTTTATCACATAACCTACTAGGAACAATGTAAGTGACATTTAAGGAGAAGCAGCTGAAAGGGTGTATCTTCTTTGCCTATGGAGGTACTATTGCTAATGTTTGTGGTGCAGATCAGGAAACAGATACTATAAAAATACCTCGTGGGGAAAATGTCTAGTAAAGGAATGGAAGCCATCCAAGGAGAAATGATAACCTTAAGCTAGAAAGCGAACATGGAAGCATCAGGTTCTTTTCAAGGCTGATGTATCTACCACCCTGCTGTCAGATGATGTCTCCTGATCTTCATTTTTCCTTGCAGTAGTGTAAAAAAATGAAGCTGAGCTGTCTTGAAAGCTAGCTTCAGCTGTGGGTGTTGATGTTGAATATCTCTAAATTTGGGTTTAAAAGTCTAAGAGGCATCCAGCCCAGAACTATATATCCACCTGCATAAATTTAAAAGTATTTGTAGTTGAAAGGAAAGGATAATTAAATGGGCACCAGCATATTAAGAGGCTGATAAAAGGATCTCAAGAAAACAAATCTGGTGGGAGACACTATTGAACACCTGCAGGGAAATCTTAATTAGTCTAGTCCTGGCCCCTTACTGTTTTTTGAGTCTTTCCCCATGACCCTCTTTTGCCTAAACAGAAAGATAATTTTCAAAAGACAATTATACCACTTTCTCCTTCAGAAGAAATATTTAATCTAATCTGTGCAAACAGCTGGTCACCTGGAATATTTTTGTTTGGTTGGTTTGTATTTGTTGTTTTCCTTTTTTAATAACCACCTTTCTTTGTGTACTTCTGTAGTGTGAAACCTTTTTCTCAACAACCTTATGCTGTACAGCCTCCACTTCCATTACCAGGTAGGTAAGGAAATGTAGTACCTTTGAAATCATATTTCGATTCCAAAAACAGCCAACATTTAAAAAAGCCTGAAAATTAGTTTAAAAAAATTACCAATTAAAACATTTCAATGAGCTGAAGCTTTTTAATATTGCTTTATTTTACAAAACTTTTTTTCCTGCTTTATGTTGGTTGTGTTGTTTTTTTTTTCTTCCTGGCTCAGCAGAAAATAAAAGTTTACTGCTCTTCCACCATGTTTCATGTTCTAGAACATTTTTCTCCATCACAGCATGATTGCCTTCCTAATTTCTTATTAAGTGGAATAACAAATGTCTTTTCCTTCTCAGCTTCCCCATTTTGAGAGGTTAATGGTGACACTTCATTTTGATACTAAGCCGTTTATTTCACTGCTCCTCTAGGGCTCAATCTAGGTCCTTTCAAAATTACTGAACATCTTTTCTCTGATGTCAAACCCCGAGTAGATTGTTTTTTACATCATTACCTACCCTGATAGTGCTGTCTTAGCAGAGGGCAATTGACTGGCCATTTAGACTGAAGACCTTGCGAATGATATTTTTGCATGATGAATGAAGTCATAAGAAAATGTAATGAGTCAGCTTTGATATCAGGTGCTCTACTGGAAAGCTATTACTGGCTTTTCTCTTTCTAAATTTTGTTATATAAATTCTGTGTGCTTAGGGTTTGAGTCTCCTACCGGCCTCTCGCCTTCCCCGTCAGCACCAGCTTGGCAAGGACGAAGGGTTGCTAGCTCCAAACTTTGGATGTTAGAATTCTCTGCATTCTTGGAACAACAACAAGACCAAGACACAGTAAGAAACACACCTGAATTCCACCCCTCATTATATTTTTGGTGTTCAGATAACTCCTGTTCATCTCATCATGGATATGTTACACTTCCATATGTCTATGGAAATACTTGCTTCATTGCTCTTCAAAGAATAGAAAGCCATCTTTGGGAAACACCACAAATCCTTCTTTTAGAGGATAGATAGTCGTAGAGCCAGCTCTGTGCAATGTGCTTCTGGCCTCCCTCTCTAGGGTCAGGGATGTTCACACACCAAACCTCAAGGCACTGAGATTATAAACCCCTGCTGGGCTGTTCTAGCTGTCCTGTTCAGCCTTGTAAGAAATATTCCATTTTAGAACCCAAAATCAGATGATGGTAAGATCACATAAAGCCACATATTTCTCTGCTGTGCTGGGAACCTAAATCTAGGGGCAACTGGGATGAATTTGCATCAATGGGTTTCTACAGTGCCACCTATAAAATGGAAGTAATAAGATTTTCCTGCCTCACTGGACCTTGTGGTACTGCGTCTTAAGATGCACTTTAGTGATGGGCTGAGATAAGAAAGTTCAGAAAAAGTAGTATTATTTGGCTGGTACCTTGCTGTGGAATTTCAGGCTTTTCATAGGACAGGAGCATTGATGTTTGACCGAGTGACCTGTCACAGGAAACACTCTGTATCTCAGGTATTTCAGACTATATAGCAGTGGCAGGAGGCAATGGTTTTGGAGTGAGTATAGAAAGAAAAAAAACAACAATAATGTTTCAGAGAAGGAAGAAGCATCAATGTACTGATAGGAAGGAAAGAACAGCATGAGCTGGTACTAGCAGGAGTATTTCTGTTAATTTCTTCTGCACTTTTAGAAAATGCTATCAAATCTTCACTGACTTCCAGTAATCTTCCATGAAAAACAATCCATGTTCAGTGTGTACTGAATGGTACTGAACAACTCCTTAAATCCATGTTTTTCCTCTTTTTGCAGTATAACAAACACCTGTTTGTGCACATTGGGCAGTCAAGCCCCAGCTACAATGACCCCTACCTCGAGGCAGTGGATATCCGGCAGATCTATGACAAGTTCCCTGAGAAAAAAGGGGGCCTGAAGGAGCTCTTTGAAAGAGGGCCAGCTAATGCCTTCTTCCTTGTCAAATTCTGGGTAAGGGAAGGACCCTTTGTAGGGTACCCATTTGCTATGAATTTCCCACTTTAAAGGCAGTGACCTCGTTAGCTGTTAAAGATTGCAGCCAGTCTTTTTTTCCTATGCAGACAACTTAATACAGCCATGACTGTCACTGGAGATCTTTCTTTGGCTGCACAAGGCACACTTTCTGGCCTGCAGCAAGATGTATCTTTCACATTATCATCTTTAGAGTTGTTCTTAACTGCTCTCTGGAAATTTTATTTGCTAATGGTGACTTGGGCCCATTAGAATTTTTATTTATAAGTAAAGAATTCAGAGGAAATTATTCTTTGCATACTCATATGTGTTCACTTCTCTCAGTGTTGTGTAACTTCTGAGTCAGAAGCAATATTTTTCCATCTCTTCTCCTGTCTCATTATCTGCATTTTGTGTTATGAAGTACTAATGATTTACAGATGCATGTTTACTGCTGGCACTAGGACAGACAAAGGGTAAGAGACACATAATGAAATTGGATTATGCTGATAATATATTACTGAAATGACTTCTGGTAAGTTGGAAGAAATCAGCCTGGCAGAAGCTTACTCACTCAATTTGGATATTTGTGATTTAGCTGAAATTTGCAAAGCTGTGTGATTGTGTTTCAGGGTACTAACAAAATAGTTTTGGTGACTGATATTATCATAAGTATTACAAAATTAAAAATAATAGCATCTTGGGGCAGTTGCCTGTTAAAAGGCTGAGGGAATGTGTAATGGTATTTGGAGGATTTCACCTTGAGTTTACCACTTATAATTCAGGATATATTATAAGTTTACCACTTATAATCCTCAGTAAGATGATGAGAAATAAGCTTTCATGTCACATACTCTACGTACAAACTGGTGCTAGAAAGCCTCCTCCTAACTGGTGCTTTCAGGAGAAAGAATTAACTTAAGTGCCTTGAGATGCAACTTCCCAGCTGTCCCAAGCCTAGCCTTTCCAGAAATGAGTTGGAGAATGCTGGCTGGGAGTCTTGCTACTCAAGTGTCTGTGCCTGGAGCGTTGGTTCCTGGTAATTCTTGGAGACACATAATTTTACTATCTGCAGACTGTGTGCTGCTGAGCTGGGCCTCTCATGGGATTAGCCTCTGTCGAAGTACAACGAGCCCTACTTGGGAAGGTCAAAACAAAAGGTGAAAAATCAGCTCTGTTCTGGCTGGGAGAGACAGCAGCACCTTACTGAGAAGCATATCCTCTGACAGGGTACCCTCTGAAAGGTGGTGATTGCCGTTTGTGCTTCAGAAGTTTCAGGAACCAAAAGGAAGAGCACAGAGGGAGATGTTACCTAGTGAGAGAATAAAACACTTTGAAATTCCTTGACTCGAAGAGAAAGAAATCTTAATGAAATTGTGGTCTGGTGCAACTGTGATTTGATTTATCAAAACTGACAGTGTACTTTTCTGCTTCTGTGATTCGGTTTGGGGATTGTGATAATTTGTTTTTCAATATCAGAAGGATAAATGTGGCCTATGCTTCATGTCAGACCAACCTATATGAGGCTTTTGAGAGATTTACATGGTGAGATGTCATTAAGTTGGACTCCTTCTGGACCCATGTGAGGTGTCTGGTGTTCAGAGGGTATCAACTCACTGGCATTTGACTTGCATAAAGAGGTGTGACATAGGATTTGAAAGATATTTACTCCAATGTATATATGATATTGTCAGGCTCTGCAATTCTACACTTGTAAGGACAGTAATATTTCTGGCCTTGGTTTAATATTTTGACTTTCTGATTCCTTTTTTGGTACCCTTGCATTGTTGAATCCCATCTGGAGTTAACACTGGGTTTTATTGATGGCAACATTATGAGTTGTCACTTAGCAATAAACAAAGTTTACAAGTCAAGTCATTGGATGAATGGAAGTATCTAAACCTTTTAAGAAGTCAATAAATAAATAAACACTTTTCACAGATAAGGCAATGTGATTTAAAAAAACATAACAGAAGAAAACTAGATTTCAGTAGAAAATTTTATATCCCTCTGCATTTTTATAATTGTAGTAGTATGTGCTAGGGTGCTTTTTAATTTTGCTTCCTGATAGCTCTGGACAACTATACAAATATGCTATTGGTATTCAAAGATGCATTGAATAAAGCAACTACAACACTGTTGAATTTATAGAATCACTTTAGGATAAAACTATTATCCAAAGGCAAATTACTGATAACCTTAACCTTGGTGAGTAGAATTAAATACTGGAAGGGGTGTTTTGAGACATGAAGTTATGAATGATTTTTCAGTGGTTCCGAACTGAAGTTGTGGTTGCAGGTGACAAAGACTTTAAAACCACAGTGAGTAAGTTGTGTTTGTATATGTGCAGTTTTAGGCTTGAAGAAGGTGAGGCATGAACCTGCCATTGCTACACTAAGCACTGAATATACCATATGATCTGTTGTGCACCAGAAACCTAACTGTAAACAGCAGGGTTGGGGTTTCTTGACATCACTGGTAGCACTTAGGATCTACTATGACTGAGAAAGGGATGTTCATGTTTGTTCCTGTTGTTGCATTAAGTTATTTATACAATAGCTAAAAGTTGATTAGTTTGAAGCAAAAGCAATGTTTGCAATTCTTCCTTGATTTTGGCACTGGGAATTTGGTACAATGAACTGACTCTTGGACTTGGATTGGCAGGTTGTGTGTGACATCTGTGTGACATTTCTCTGTGCTCCAAGTGCATTCTAGCACATGACAATTAACGTGAGACATTAGCCTCCCAACACATGGGCAGTGGCAGCTCTGCTCTTTTCCAGTGTAATATTATCTCTGCCACCTGTTACTTGCCTCTCCCTGTGAACTCCTCCTATATGCATCGTTATTAATAGTTTGGGCAAGAGGCGTTTTCAGGGCTTTGCACATTAGTAGAATGGTGCACTTGCATCTTAAAGCTTTCAGTAGTTGTGAGACTCTGGGTGGAGGACAAAAGGAAAACGACAAACCAGGAGTTCAGGACAGGCAGTGCTTTGTACAGAGCAGCCATCTGCAGAAGGGTGGATTGGGGGAATTTCTTGGGAGAGCTGTCCTGCCAATGTATGTAGTAATTTCTTCTCGGTGATAGGCGAACTGAAACAGTCAAACCACTGAGTGTTTTCTTTCAGCTAAATATATTATACTTTTGTGGAAGGTGCTGAAGAGGTGGCCTGGAGACTGATGTCCTCCACTTGGCTTCTCTACTGTTGCAAGCAAATCTTGTCAAAGCAGCAGCAGTGCGAATTCCCCTTGGCACCCTGCCTTACCCACTGCATGTCTTCAATCCTGACCTGGCAGAAACTGCTTGGAGAGCAAGGAGATGGCAGTTCAGTCCCCATGTCCATTCTGTCCTTGGTACTCCTTCAGAGGCAGCAAACAAGGCAGCAGCTAGCAACACAGATTTTTATGATCTTTGCACACACTAATTTCTCTGCCAGCACCTCCTGCCCTATGTAAGGGGACTCTGTCAATATCCCTTCTTTCGTCAGAGTTATTCCCCACAGTGTTCAACAGTATAGAGACTGTTGGCAGCAAAGAGCAGATTGAAAGACTGAACTGCTGAGGGAATCTATCTGCTGGGTGTCAAAATAGCACAATTCTGCTGGGCCAGATAAGTCACAGCTCCCCATACTGCTAGCAAGGCTATCTTTGGCTAGCTTGGGAACTCTTCCCACTTTGTTGGAGGCTGAACCTGCAGTGGCTCAAGTTTTGCACTGTTCTTTAAGAATTGTTCAGCATATGCCTTTCCGTTGACCACATGGAACGTGTGTGCAATATATCAGCCATCTATTGTTTCTCATGGCATTTAATGCCACCTGGACTCTAATCCTTGCTTTTCAAAGCCTCAGATAAACTGAAGGCTGATTCTCAAAGGCCACATTTCCCTTTGTGAGGAGTTTCAAAGAACTTTTTGGAATGAGGCCTTTCTCCGTAATTGGTTGTGAAACTCACTCCCACCAAAGAACAGACAGAAATTTTGGTTTAATATGTGGTTAGGACAGTGTGCAGTGCCAGCTTTTCTGTAATTCTTTCTTGGGGTTGCAGAAGTTTCATGATATACTCAAGCTCATCAGAACTGTTTTCAATTGCTAAGACTCAGAGCACCAAAGATTAAAAAAAATAGAAGGCAATACTAACTTGTTGAGGGATACTATGCTTTTCCCTGAACAAATCCCTTCTCTTCCATCTAGAAATCTTGTCTTGTACGTATTTAAAAATTCTGCTTACTTTTCTGTAAAGGAGAAAATCTCAGGTGTTTCCCCCAAAGCAGGTAGGTCCACTTTTGCATATAATATGTAGATCTCTGATGTTCTGTATCACAGATACCTCAGTGGTTATAGTTTCAGCATATTTGGAAGTCATCAGGCAAGCTGTGGATAAGTGTGTCATCTGTATTGAGCTTGCACAGCAAATTGAATACATCACAGTACCTTCCTTGAGAGAGTGGGAACCATAAGTAAATAAGCTGTAACTGTAAGGCCAGCAGTGTGTGTCTGAGGTGCTGTGGCTCCATTGTCCTGTAAAACATGAGCTGGAGCCCTCAGCAAGCTGCTACTGTCATTCCCCAGAGTTGCTGATATTCCATGTATGTATGTTTAAGATCTGAGATTTTCAGAGGTGAGAGGAGGCGGGTACACAGCTCTTGATGACTCACCACCCTGCCTGATGGTCCTAGCCCATAATATGGAACAAGCTTTAGAAGAAAAGGTGCTGTGTAAATGTCAGGGAGTTCCAACATGATCCCACTGCTTCACTGCAACAGGACTTCCAGGAATCTGATTATACGTAATGTCGGTGAATGGTGATGACCCTTTAATTCAAATAGTATTACCATAATTTTTTCTATTGCCAAACAGTTTAATGTTGATTAATTAGATGTGAAATTCTAGTCTGGCCTTTTGATAGAAGACTTGTCAAATTGTGGAGGCACCTAGAGTGGCTTCTTAGGGCTAGTGAAGCTTTTCTCATGAAGTGGAAATAGCACCTTTCTGCTTTGCCTCATATTGACTGCATTTATTTTTTAATTTCCCAGTAAGTCTTAAGAAGAATGTAACCTTAACTTTACTAGTGAGATCCTGAAAATGTTTGTCTGGTTCTGCGGTGAGAGCCTCTGCTGTGTTTATGTAGCAGTGGTCTGACCAAGCCTCTGTAGCCTTGACCCTTTGTTCTTTTTGAGTCCGTGGGACAATTTCTTTGGAGAAGCAGAATCGGGTCCACGCATTGTGTTTATCACTCCCAAGGGAAATAGCTGAAAAATATTGCGAAGGACTCTTAGTCTAGTTCCTCTTTGGAGCAGGGAAGGAATTAATCTTTATTCAGACAGTCGGAGTGTGGGTGAAGTATACAATACAGTTAGTTGAATTGACTTGGAAATGAGTATTAGAGTATTAAAGTACAGTATTACAGCAACTCAGTAATACCTGGACCAGAATAGAGTAGCACTGCTATTTTCTAGTACAGGTACCTTTGTGGTACAAAGAAAGTAGTTGCATAACTATAGTTATTTGATATCAAGGTCTTCAGCATGACCATAATAATTCACTTGGCATCCTGAATTATGATGAAGCCTGTTAGGCCTGTGCCCTGAGCTACCAGGTAAAACTAGCCCAGATTTGCCCACATACGCTCTTCCAGTGTAGACAAACCATTGAAGCGGAACACTTCATTACAGTCACTGAGGTGGTCATGACAATGCACAAACTTCCAATCTTCCTCTAGCTGTTGTTTCCAAGTTTTATGCTGTTATGCTCTGTTAAGAACCCTGTGAGCAGAGTGAAAGCTATGTCCATCCCTAATGCTGCTATCTTTGTGCCCTCAACTTTTGTGGTGTCACAAAGGCTCACATCTACAAAAGAGGAGAAAGCTTGACTGGCACTTTCCAGATTGACTTAAACCTTTTGTGAACAGTATTATCTCATGGCAGAGAAGAGACAGGTATTTTGGGTGGCAGAGAAAGGGGGGCATTCATTTTTATGCTGATCCTATTCCAATTGTCCTAAGTGCTGCTCTAGGTCTCAAATAAAAACCCCTTCACTGACATTGGCTAAGAAAAACACGCTAGAATGACATGTAATGTTGTCCTATTCACACTGTATCCACTGTAGCAGGAACATACTCTCTTCAGTTTCTTCTTTCCCTTGCTTCATCTGGAAGAATAAAATAGTCTGAAGCAGCCTATGGGAACTGATTCTTGCTTTTATGCTGATATAAACTAGTGCCTGGGCTTGTAGAGCACAGAGAAGCTCTACCCTTTCAGTTTTGAAAGTAAGAAAGCTGAGCTGGGCATTCCCACACCCCTCCTTGTATTTCAAGAGCTTAAGGGAACCACCTCTTCTTTTCATAACTGTGGCTTGAATGACCCCTGGTGGAAGCTTCAGACAGCCAGGATTTTTAGGAGTTAGGTCCCAATAGGAGGCTTCGGTTGGCCAACCTTAGGCACCCACATTTGAAAACTGTGGCTGCTAATGGAGATGGGTTTGCATTCAGGTGGAACTGAGTTAGATCCATCAGCAACCTACATTCCTTATTATATTCTGCCCATTTGCATTCTTTATATCACAGTACCTGAGCCTAATGTATGTGTGTGTGTGTGTGCGCTCTTGAACTCACACATTCCTTTTCTCTGCTGCCTCTTTTCCCTTACCTACCTACATACCTAAGGGGGAAACACTTTATTACTGTTGCTTTTCCCTTATTTTTCCTTCCTTAGTGAGGCATCCCAGTCTAACCTGTCTATTGCACTGCTCTGTCTCTGCAGTGCCCTCCTTTCTGCTCTCCACATGCTTTAGGAGTACTTCCAAGCTGTGTCATGTGTTTTTAAAGTTAAAAAGATATTTCAGTGTGTATGCAAATCCCCACCACCATTTTCTGATGCACTCTGATCTGCTTAAGGAGCTTGGGACACTTCAGTATTTAACTATCTTGGCTGTGTAAAGTAATGGTGGAAAAATGCCACAACTATCTATTGATAACCACCTATTTCCCCCTTTTTTTTTTTGGCAGGCTGATTTGAATACCAATATTGAAGATGAATCTAGGTCTTTCTATGGTGTTTCCAGCCAATATGAGAGCCCAGAAAACATGGTCATTACCTGTTCCACCAAAGTGTGTTCCTTTGGAAAGCAGGTGGTAGAGAAAGTAGAGGTAAGAAGCAGACACCTGGGTGCAAGGTTCTGCCTGGTTACTGTTTTTTCACTTCAAGTATTTGCATCCTGCATGTATATCAAACTCATATATCCCATGCTTCTTCTCAGAGAGATGGATGCCATAGATTATTATTTCTGAAACATGCAGGTGTGTAAGTTTGCTCCAGTCTGCAGCGTGGCCTTATTTTAGGAGTTCACTGAAGGTCTGGGAGTGTTTGTTATCTTTTCCTTAAATCTCAGTTTCTGAAAAGATGCAAATATATGAGACTCTTAGCTCTGGTGATTCTCTGGTTTTTCAGGGGAGGCAAAGGAAAACTCGGGAACACACCCTTGTTTTGAACTCCAGGAAGGTGAAAACAAAGAGGCAACACCTCACTCTCACTAGTGTTTTTAAACAGATCATTTGTAGACTATAGCTATTAATTAATAGACTGTGGTAGTTTGCAGTCTTAAGGGTTTTATGAGACTTAGAGCTTGTACACTTACAGCTTATGCTGCAAAATGCATATATCTGGCATTGAAGAAATTCTTTCTGATACCACATTCATCTGCTAAGAGAGCTGCTTTGATATGCATCCTGCTGCTTTCTTTCCCGAGGAACCTTTAGATGTAGCAGAAGCAGCTATGTGTAGAACACCAGGTGCTCTCATGTCAGCAGTCAGTTCAAGCTGTATCCTTCCCAAGACCCATTTCCAGTAACATGACAGACATGCCTGAGGTCTGGTTAAGTATTTGCAGATGCGATAGGTAGGCCAAAGGAAGGTGTCATGGTGCACAGGAACAGAGACCAAGCTCCTGGGGTGAAAGGAGTAACAGGGCCTGCTGTGAAATTATAGAATCTGGCTTCAGGTTCTGTTCAAAGGAACATGAAATATACAGGAGCTAAGATGTGAATGTGAACAAAAAAAATCCCTCTCTGTAAGATTGGTCACACCCTCTCCCAAGGGGAGGAGCAGAGATACTAGGTTTTCTCTCTCAGGTACCAAAGAGCTTTAGTCTTCTTCAGCTGTTAAGGCATCCTGAGCGTATGATTACCCTCACTACCAGGAGCTTCCTGGTCTTGCTAAAGCAGTAGTTCTTAATTTTTTCAGTGTATTCATACCTAATGTTTTTCTAGTAGAGATGCTTACATTAGTATAGATGACAATTGGTCTGTTCTTCTTAGTTAACTTTCACAGCTCCTTGACGTTTGCTGCTTGTAAGCTGGAACCCACTGTTCTAAAAAAAAAAAAAAAAAAAAAAAAAAATCACGCTGAAGAAATTGGAGCTCTCAAGGGGACCGACCTTGGTACAAAGTACTATAGTTACTGTTAGTAAAGTTAGTTGAAAGTGCCACCATAATTTTTCTGTTCTGAATCCCTTTCTGTTACTAATGTGACGACATAACCCCATGTGCCCATTTTGTGTTGCAGACAGAGTATGCACGCTATGAAAATGGACACTATTCCTATCGCATTCACCGTTCCCCTCTCTGCGAATACATGATAAACTTCATTCATAAACTCAAGCACCTTCCTGAGAAGTATATGATGAACAGTGTGCTGGAGAACTTTACCATCTTACAGGTGGGACTTTCAACTGTTTTTGTTGCAGCTTGGCAACATGTAAGCCCCAGAGCAGGAGTTCACTGTTGTGAGTCAAAGCAGTTTTCCTTTTACAGCTCAGCATCCTAATTGAACTTAGTTTCTCTCATGTGTATTGCTCTTCAAGACCATTTATGGAGCTCTAGAGATAGTAACTCAAGCAGAGAAGCAGCAAAAGAATTTGAGAGACCTGAGTAAGAGAGAGGAAAAAAAAATAAAGGGAGATTTCATGAGGCAGAGAAATAAATGAAAGAGAATGATGAAGAAGACAGTAAAGGAAATGCTTATTCCAACACCGGACAAATGTTGATATCCTTTCTGTGCCCTAACCCTGTTTGCAAGGTAAAAATACTGCAAGAGCACTGTTGAGTGCTGGGATGAGTTCTTCACTGACCAGATTGGGTCGGGGTGGGGGTGGGGAAGTAGTTTGCTCAGTACCATCCTGGACCTAGAAGGAATCTTAAGACATGTAAAGGAAAGGGCATGTTGTGGGGAAGCTCTGTGACACCCACATGAAGCACTGCAGCCTCTAGGTAAGGCAGTACTACAAGGCTGCAGCAACTAGATTTGCATTAGTGTTTTCTTAACCAGGAGCCTTTCCAAACTCAGATGCAGCCTAAATTTGGGAAGAGGGCAGACAGTGTAAAACGTGGATTTTTCTAGTGGACTGAATTCTGTGTTTGCCTCTAAGAGGCATCTTTGCCTATAAGAGGCATCACAGATCTTTGCCCAGAGAACCTGAGGCTGGGTAAGTAGAAGAGATGCTAGTGGCTGAATGGAAATCAAGTGGTCTTCATTCCATTCTCTGGAGATTTCGGGAGAACTTTGGGTGACTCATTTCACTGCTTTGTGGCTCAGTACATCAGCTATATAACACAAAGTTAACAATATACCTCATAGAGCTTTAGGAAGTTTATTCTTTAATGTTTATGCAAAGATTTTAAACATCTAGGAGAAAAGAGGAGTATGAATGCTGAGAGTTCTTTTAGATGAGCAAAAACATGAAGTGGGCAGGGACAGAGATACAGAAGGTCTGTGTGCGTTAATCCGTACTGAGGAACACTGTGACTGCCCTCTGTGAATTTTATTCCTCAGTCAGGCCAGAACTTCCTATAAATTCTATCAAAAAGCTGTCACACAGTTACACTTCCTCTAGGGCTTTAAGTTTTGAGTAATCTCATGTCCTTCCCTTACCTTTTGTCACAGAGAAGCATGTCTCATGTGGGTGCTGGCACAACCTTTTATATATTGTCTTGCAGTCCTGCTCCCTGAGCAGCAGGCTGAGCATTTTCCACTCCCCATGGGGAAGCTGAAAAATGCATAATGTAAGGCATGTTGCTAGTCCTCAGACCCAACTACAAGCTTCTGAGGCAAATCTAATTATATTTTTTCTAGACCCTTTTATGAGCTTAGATACCCCTAATCCTACAAGCATGATTTATCTGGCTTTGCACATTGCCCTGGATCTAGCACTCCAAGATTTCAGTGCCCATTTTTCAGAAAAGGGTCTGGTGCTTTACTACATCTCAAAGTATATAACTCATCACACCCTGCAGAGAATAAAGGAGTTTAACTGCAAACCCAATCATGAATTAAGAAAACAGAATAGACCAAAATCAGACTGCTAAAATTAATAAGCAAATTTGATAACAGTTATTTTCTTTCTGTTTTCACACGAACAATTGGGCTTTGGTACAAACCTCCTGCTGGAACGTTTTTCTTCTGCACTTGAGTTGGTGCTGCTACTGATAAAAATCTGTCTCCTCCAGCAGGAGAGAACTTTAGCACAAACTCAGGTGACAAGGATGTGTAAAGTTGTGCAGTGACAGAAAGAGAGGGAAGCTGAGCTAAGAGCTCTGGGTGCAGTATTTCTCTTGTCCCTGCCATGTAGTGCATGCTTCTGAAACTTGGACAACACTGCTCCTTCACCATGTTTCTGACACTGATTCATGTTGTAGAGTAGCTAAGGTTCCTGAAGGACCATAGAAAAAGAAGTGGGAAAAAAGGAGCTTCTGTAAGAACGCATGAATGTAGCAGCCATCCTTCTCCAGACATCTACAGTGTATGAAGAAAGATAGCTGCTACATTCATGCATCCTCGCTGAATGTGTAATGGAGTCAAACCTAAAAGTCTCCTGTAAAATGAGGTATACTCTGTAATCCTCATGGTCTGTATCTACAGGAGCAGATGGAGGGAAAGAACTGTTTCTGGTTATGGTATATCAACATACATGTGAGCAGGACTGGATGTGCCACAGGAGTGGGCCTCTCTCTATATCCAACAAACGGCAACAAGAGATTTTTTGTGAAATGCTTTCCCTCTGCTGAAATCTGCAACGTCAGGGGGTAGGGAGTAGAGGACCTAGTGGACCTGTTTCCACTTATATGGTCACTGCTGGGTCACAGTGGACTTTTCTCCACAGTGAACTCTGCTCACCTCCCTGTCTCTTCACAGCCTTGTATTCAGATACTGTGAAAGTGCTTTGCTTTGGTGTGTGGGCACACAGACTGGCAATTGTGGTGGCCAAGCTGCATATCAATCCTGTGCTTCTCTGTTCTTTGTCTATTACTGATTTTTTGCTTTAGGCTAAATGGAATATGTAAGCAGAGAAACAACAGTTGCCATCTGAGCTTCTTCTCCTTTTCTGTCTAGGTTGTGACAAACAGGGACACACAGGAGACCTTGCTATGCATAGCATATGTTTTTGAAGTATCAACTAGTGACCATGGTGCCCAACATCACATCTACCGGCTGGTGAAGGACTAGAGACTGTCTGCCCTGAGTTGTCCATGGAATGCATGTATAAGAAAAAAGCCTGTGCTTGAACAACCCCTGCCCCCTCATACCAAACTGAAAAATAAACTGCAGATATTGTGTATTTTCAGAAAAGTACCTCTGAGCTGGTTTGTGATTGATAGAGTCAAGTGTCTGTCTGCAGGTTTGTGCAGATGGGAAAAAGACTTGGAGTTAAAGAAACAGCCAAATGACTGCTTAAGGGTCTCACCCCAAACAGCATCCTGTGAAAAGTACTTCCCACAGAGTACACACAGGGTGTGATCATACACATAAAAGGAGTGGCATGCATCTGGGTATGCAGGTATGGCAACGGCAGGAGCTTCCTCAAGTTTCACCACATATGAACAGGTTGAAAATGTTGGTGCTACATCTGGTCTGAGTGTGTGCACTCATGTACATTCATTTGTAGGTCAACTTGTGCACAGACATGATTATTGTATATTTTATATATACATTTATGTAGATGTCAGACACACGTGGGCACATGCATGTGTATAGAGAGGGCACATATATCCTACACAGCTGCCTGGCTGTCTACATTAGCAGCTGTGCAGTCACAGGCTCATTCAGCCTTCCTCTATTAGAGTCTGGTTACTTTTTCCCCTCTCTTCCATGCGTGATAGCAAGATACCAACCTTTCTTTTGCCTGTTAAATGAAGTTATGCTTAGAAGATTGGGAATGTTAAATCATGTTGTCTTGCTCAGCAGATTTCCTCTATGTTTCAAGTCTGCTGACTTGACTAAAATAATTCTTGCTGCTTTTGCTTCTGTTCTCCCTGCACAGCTAACAATGCTTAGGGAGCTAGGCTGTACTCTTTTCTTGTGCACCAGTAAAATAATTGTTTACCAAGATCAAATTGTTCTACCTGTAGCTGCAGACAGTGAAGTGCAGAAGTATTGTAAAGAATGCCACTTGGCCAGCAAACTGCAGGAATAGGAAGAGAGAGGTTAGTGAAAGAGGTTAGCTTTCCATGTTTCCAAGGCAATCAAACACAGCCTCTCTGCTTTACTGAGGTTGTTTACTCAAGAGTCGCTGAGAGGCAATAATCTTAGTCCCCACAATGCTGCTGATGTGGGGGAAGATCCAGCCATTCATGTTACACTGAGGGAAGGGGTGGGCTGCGTGATGCTCTCTGGCAGGCACTGAACAGGAAATTTACTGGGTAACCAGGCACAGTCCCATGGATGGGACAAACAATTTGATGTGGAATGGTGACTAAATGACTCATTTCCTCATTAAGCCAATTGATTTGTTGTAACTGTCTAAGTGCAGATTTCTATTTGCATGTAGGAGGTCCACCACAGGGATGAGTTTTCACCAGATATTACTGAGGAACATACTGCCTCTACCGTGCACACTGCACCTTGCTGCTCCTGGCCTGTGTTTAGGTCATAACCTGTGCTCGGAAGCATGGAAAGGAAAGGACATGGGTGCGAAGGATAGCAAAGATAATGCCAAGAAGTCAGAGCTGGAGAAAGATGTTTTGGTTCTTGTTATAGGAAAAGGTCTCAGCTAATTTTTTATATGTAATGAAGTATTTTTCCCCCAATCCTGCAGACCCTGCACTTTCAGAGGCTGCTTGTAAGGACTGTGCAGGGCTAGTGCTGTTAACCTTCTCTGTGCAAGAGCTAGAAGTGGGTGGTAAAGGACAGAAATGTTGCTTGCACTTATTGAGCAAAATCTACACCTTCATCCTGTACACAAAGTTCCTGCTCTGCCTGCTCTCTCCAAGACAAAGAAATGCCTTCAAGTTCTGACGGTCAAACAGCAATACAGAACACAGATGCCAACAGCTTTCCATAAGATCTGCATGGCTGGTAACCAGAATCAGTCAAGTTTGGAGAAAGAGGAACCAAGTACTTTAAAACACCTAGAAAAAAAGCATCTTGAAATGCCTGCTGTTTTGTGCTACACATGAAAAACCCATGCAAGCACAGCCTGCTCTTGCCCATCCAGTGCCCGCCTGGTGTTACTGCTAGTCACAGCCAAGTGACCAAACTGCCCAGGAGTAAATTAACTACATCTCTCAAAGCAGCCAACCAGTGTGGCCACACAGATATGAACAGCACCAACTGGCTACAGTCCATTACTGATGCATGCTCCTGCCTATTTTGGCCCTATGCAATCTCCTTCCTGACCTCTGAACCACGCGTGGAGTGGACAACAAATCAAATAAAACCTCACTAACAGAAAAACAGACTGACTCTTGGGAAAAGTATTTTTGGCTGACACAGACAAGTGTGCTTTGAAATTAAGCCAGGACAGAGAAAGACCCCAGGGATGGAAAATTGCCTGTGACGTGTCTCCTGCAAACATGAGCTTGGTGCCTTGCATGCATCCACTGCAGGTTTAGATCACAACAGCAGATCCCACGGAGTAGTTCCTGAAGGAGATGAGCCCTAGAAGTCCACTTAGTTCATCAGCTGATCATGAATAAAACTGCATTAACAAAGTTTTAAGATGTTATCAAAACAATTAACACAAGCCAACAGGCTGAGGAACAAATGGAATCTTTGAGCAGTTGATTTAGGGACACTCATGCAGGTGGTTTTTTTTTTCACTTAATAACAATGAAAGACTAGTCCCTGGCACTATTCCTTTCTGCTCTTGCGCTTGGACTTTACAGCTCTTTGGTGTCAATAACCACGGTCAGCAAGAGACATCTACCTACCTTTCAAACCCAGCAGAGAAACCAAAAGAAAATTCATGTGTCTGGGAGAGCTCGCTTTTATGTAGGCTACCAGATGAAGATTTAATAAAGCTGTGAGGCAAAGGGAGTACTGGAAATTTTGGCCTGGACTAAAAGGCTTCTGTCCCCTTGCAGAATGGGTGAGATCCATATAAAAATGCTTCAAAGACTGAAAGGACTGTAGATCTCTGTCCCTAAGGCTTCCTTTCTTGGAATTTCACCAGAAGAAACCAGACAGCACATCAGAACTAGGAGCCAGCTGCAATTTTGCTAAAAATAAAGCAAAGCAAACACCAAAAAGCAGCATAGGTAAAAAAAGAGATAGCCTAGTTTGAAGAGGAAAGGCTGAATTGAACTCCAAAGAACCTACAACAATTGAGGATGTCAGTGTAATTTCAAGTTCAGTTTCTGTTGGGGCAGAAATACCAGAAATATTAACCTTAGCCTGTGAGAACTTGCTGTAAAATCAAGGGGCAAAACAGCAAAAACTGATTCCCCTGGTCACTTCACAGCTACAGCGCTGAGATATTAGAAGATAAAATGACAAAACAGGGATGCAAATATCTTCTTTATAAGAAAGCACCTCAAAAGTTTCTATTCAGCTGTGCCTACCTTTTTTCCTAATGTACATGCTTCAATTTATCAGCCCTAATTCGTGCAGCTACATCTGCTTGTGGAATCATGTCAAGCTGAATTGCTAAAATGATTCCACTTAAAGATAGTCTTCTGTGATAAGACAATACACCATGGGTCTGAACAACACAGAACTAGGTAAGACAGGAGCCCTCCCTTCATCTTTACTTCAAAGCCAAAAGAAACACTTCAGGTAAGACCAGTTCATTTGAATTCCCTCATTCATCTGCGATGAGGGGGTGGGAACTTCTTGAAGCTGACATTGCCAACAAAGAAAACATGTAGGTAGGCTTAGAGGCAAAGTTAGGGATTGAATTTAAATCTCTTTCTACTGCATAATCTAGACCCAAGGATCATTATTTCCTTGAGTATTACACTTGTTTCAGCCTCTGGTGCAATGGTTTCTCAGTGACCTTTTCTTCTCCATTTACCTGCTCATTTTTATCTTGGCTCTTTGACATCTTGGACCAGATGAAGGGGGTGAATAACTTGAGTGGTGACAGCAAAGAATAAGAACTAATTCAGACAGGTGAGAACACCCTCAAATTTGCTCTAGAGCTGTGGAAGAGACAGGAAGAACACGTGCTGAGCTTCCAAGAAGCTGCCTAGGAGTCATGCTCTTTCATCAGTCCTGCAAGCACAGTCTACATCAAAACCTAGCAGAGAGGCAACAGACAACTTGCATGCTTGTAATGGGATGGCAAGATCAGGGCTACTCTCTACAAGGATAGTCAGAAGCTTATGTTGATGACAGCTCTGTCAGTAACCTCAAAGACTGGGGTGCAGTCCCAATCTGTCACTTGGATACCAGATCCATATCTACTACACTGGTAGCCATGTTTGCCTGCACTTGGGTGATTTAACATGCTGATTCAGCAACCAGTCAAGACTCCAGATCTGTGATCCATACCATTTTTGACCTCTGAAATGAGCTACAAAAGTATTGGTGCTTATTTTGGGGAAAGCAATTAGAGCATCACTAAAGAAAAGCACCCTCATCACATTCAACTGGACAATATAGCAATAATGATGGGAAGAACCTGAATAAAGCAAAGCTAGAGAGTCTAGACGAATTATCTCATTCTGTTAAAAAGAGAAGAACAGACTTTCATTTTCAACCTCCCTAATTTCCCCGCTGTACTCAGCACTGTTGCCATGCTATTGTTTCATCTAAAATTGGTGGCTGAGACCCAAAGCTGTAGACTTGCTATTACTGTAGAGGGGATATGTCCTGTGAGTCACACTGGAAAGTGTGCATCCATTTATAGCTGCCTCAAATTCAGTTACTTAAAGTTGTTCTCAAAAACTGTATGTAGCCTTTAGGTTTGCTGCTCAGATGCCATGGGTTCAAGTATACTGCTGCTGAGGTGTAACTCTTTCTGTTCCTCACCATATGGACAACATCAGTGTTCCCATGTTACATTTGGTCATGTGGAAGACAGCTAGCTGAAGCTGAAACACAAGCCTACGAAGATTACTTTCCTCAACTTACTTGTATAATTGAGAAGAGACCTGCAGACTAATGCAGTCTCCTTGGTAGAAAATGCAGCTGCAGTATCAGCCACTCCAGTCCCCAGTTTCACAGTGATTCTCAAGCTTTTTCCCTAAATGATCAAGTTCATACAAAGCTACCATATATCTTTTATCTTCTTTATTTTTACCTTCTTTCCAAGGTAGATGCCAAGCGATGTCTTGATTTCACATATTTATTTTTTGCTTTGACTTGAACTAGAGAAACCCCATATACCTGAGTAAAAAGCTGCTTGTGCTTAT